TAATCTTTTTTAAAAGAATCTTCACTTTAGTCTTAAAAAGATACTAGTATATTGTATGGCATAAACATACAGGAACAGCAAAAAGAATGTATATCTGTAAGTAAGGACTCAGATTTGACTCTAAGCATTCTAGAGACAAATGTGAGGTCATCTGTCCAACAGCTAAAGCAACCGGACAAGGATCCCAAGCACAGCAGCAACTCTACAACAGATTATAGCAAATTATTGCAATGATCTAAACCGCAATCCAACTTTAATGCAGGACTTTGTGAATGCTGTTTTCAAACCTCACTGACCTGGGCTGTAAGGTTGTCAAGAAGAGACGGTAAAAGTTACTCTACAATATTGTGAGAGACTGATAAACTCAAACAGAAACCTATTACGTCAAGCTATTACTCTTAAAGCTGATTCTACAAGCTTTTGAATCATGGGGTATACTTTTTAACACACTTCTCCTCCATTTTGGCTTCAGTTTTGTTAAATAAATAATGACACATTGGAATAAGTTCAGCTGAGGCCATAACATTTTGTTATGTCCTGATATATTAGAAACATTAGACCTGAAAAAGGATGTACCTTCTTCCTCTTCTTTCAAATATGACTTTAGTTCCCTCTTTAGAGATAAAAATACACACATTTTCACAGAATTTGGCCCCTTTCTGAGAAATTGGAGCATATTTGTCACTTTGTGACTTAGTTTAAAATAACTTTTCAAAAGCCAGTTTTTTTCTCAGCACCTACATAAGAATATTTATAAAATTCCTAGCACAGATCAAACAAATAGTATAGGCATAGTATATCCAAACACGCCCATTAAAAAAGCATGAAATATAATGACATAATGTATTGAGAGCTTGAGAGTTATAATCCTGAATGCTCATCAAATGTCTGCATGCTGTTAGTGTTTTTATGGACAAACAAGGGATATGAAAGATTGCCCAAAACTGTAAATGTAATTCCAGCTTATTTCAATCTGGTGCATTCCTCCATTAATGTGCCTGTTGTTCTTTAGGTCATATGAACAGGCTGCCTCCATTTTTGCCAGATATGAGGCTATGACAGAATCCCACTTTTACTCTTCACTTTAGTGAAGATACTATCATATTGTATAACTCAAACATACAGGAACAGCAAATGGAATGTACCAAAGTATTCCAGAGTCAAATGCGAGGCTATCTGTCCAACAGCTAACAGGACAAGGATCCAAGGACAAGGAATTCACATAATGAAGAATTTGTGTATTGGAAAACTACACCATTTTCCTGGATTTCTACATCAAAGGTGGTAAGTACAGCATTAACATAAGCCATAAAGGACAGTAGATTTTTTTACACAACAATGTTCTCTTTTGTCGTTTTGACATTGGAGCAGTCAGCTTTCCAGCTGCTTCTGCACTCCACACTTCTCTCTCTCCTTGGTTGTATCCCAATTCAGGGTCTGCAGCCTTAAAGGCCGCATTTTAAGGCCGATTACGTCACCGCGACGCGACGAAGGCTGTCCCAATTCGACGGCTGCTCGAAATGCGGCCCTCAAATGCGTCCTTCATTTCCCTGAATTTTAAGGACGTGGCGGTGTAGACTTTGTGGCCCAACATATCCCAGAATGCATAGCGCGGCGGTGGGTGTGGATAATTTTGCCGAAAATACACGGCGGATGAGGGGCGCCCGAAGAGTAAACTTTTAAAAGTAAGTACTGAATATTATGTCACTTATTTATGTGCCAATGTTTACTAACGAAGAACATCAAAACATTTCTGTTGGCCACATGTCAGCAAAGTTATGTGACATTTGTGACGTTTGTACTAACTTGGTTTTAAAGCCTTTACTTTAAAATATACACCGTTCAATAGCTGAACTTAATCCTACAGAGAATGATCAAAGCTCATGTAGAAACAAACAATCACGTGAACAAATTATTTTCTCCTTCATTTCTGTCAAACAAAGCTTTATGTAACGTTTCTAGCTGTTAGTATCATGGTTGCTAGGCAACCTGGGCAGCGCAACGGAGGCTAGACCGTCCCATTTCACAAGCCTCGCACTTCCGGCCTTAGCGGTCTTTAAGTACGCGGCCCTTGAGGATCGTTGAGACTGCGTACTTGGGATACAGCCCTTATGTCCCAGCGTCACTGAAAAAATGGAAGAACCTGATTACTGAGTGGCAGCAGCTGTCCTGCCAGCCAGACTAGCACTGCCCCTTGAGCCCGCTATACCACCCTCCACTGCAGTGGAGCCAGAGACCACACCGCCTCCACAGACACATTAGTCAGAAATGTACCAGGTTAAAATAAACTTCAAATATCCTTTAAAGTACTATTCCTTCCATATGTAAGTCATCTTCATATATTCAGAGAAAGGGCCTGACCACAGTTCCACTTCCTGTATACAGAGTTGAATTAAAGGACATGGATACACTGACTTCACTGGTTTTAATGTGCTCATTGATCAAGCTTAGGATTTTTTATTATTATGAAACCGCACATGATAAATGTGGCTCTTGATGTAAAACTAACAGATTTCCTTTTAGTAGCTGGATTAGTCACAGAGGGGATCGTTTTTCTCTTTATTTAAAACGATTACATTTAAAGGTGTTTCCTGTTTTGCCTTCATAGCCCATTGGTTCAGCTCTTTGTGTATTTATAGCCCTGCCACTTGTCAGTCCACCCTCTTTACGAAGCTGTTCTCCTGCCTTTCTATTTTCCTACATCATTTCAGCACTTCGTGCTTCATGTCTCATTCCTTGGTCACTTTGCCTCTTGGATTTGATGTTGGATTGGATTATCTACCACAGTTTTTTTTTCCCAACAAATCTTCATTTAACTTCAGTAAGTTTTTTTAAGATTTCATTTGTTCGTCATGCCTCTGTGTGGGTCCAAATCTGAATTAAGCTACAAATGTATGACAACTAGGGTTGTCATACATTTTACTTGTGCCGTAAAATGTATTTCTCTTTTAATAAAACTGGAAGGTGCAATGAAAATAGGAGGGACTGGTAATAGTCTCAGAATGAGTAATATTTGTCAAAATCGTTTGCAAAAAATTGGCAACAAAGTCTTACCCACGCCTCGTTTCTTTATTATGGTGCTTTTAAGGACAAAGACCTTCTTGTAATTTCATTTTTAAATGGTCTTGAGCAGCAGTTTTTTGTGCTTTCTGAAGGTCTTTAAATGTTCTTCTTTGGACATTAACAGCTTTTTTTTTACTCATTTTCCTCCCAGTCTTTGTAACAGACTTTTTCAGAGTTTTTTGCTTATGTTTTATGGTTAACTCACTTAACACTGACCTATGACTCATTCAAGGAAGAAAAGGGCACCTAGTTCTGTCTACACAAAACAGACAACTGAGCAAAGGACTCATTTTAAATTGGTTCTCTGTTACTAGCTGTTACCAAAAAACACAGTTTGTTCCCATTTCTTTAGTTGAATCAAGGAAAACAGTTTGACTGGCACAAATGTTTTTTGTTTTTTTTTTGCATCAGTAAGCAGACTCCCAAAGAGCTACTAGCTGAATACTTGACATATCTCAGCCTGCTGTGCAGCATGTCTTTAAAAAGTTAGTAAAACTATGTACATCCTATGAACAGTATCTAAAAGTCATGTCTGTAAGAAACTGAAAAAAAAGGGTTGATGTGAAGAACCAATTCTTGAGGAAGAGAAAGCGCGAGACTGGCTGACAAATTACACAAGAACTGAAGAACTGGACTGAAAATCAGTTGCTACAGGTCTTATGAAATGATGACTGCAGATTTAAAAAATGTGGTTCACATTGTCAGTATATACAGAGGAGGTCAGGAGAGATACAACAATGAGTGTCTACAGCCATCTGTAAAACAGAGTAAAGGTTCTGTTATGATTTGGGTACCTCAAGAATTTGATCCGTCCTGTAGTACCATACAGAAACATGTTATTTGGAACATTTCATTTTTCAGCATGACAGTGATCCAAAATCCACTGCCAGTGGAGTAAAGCAGTAAAGCAGAATGGAGAAAAACACACAGAGTGGAACAGTACAGTCATGCACTGGCCTTTCCAGAGCCTCAAAATCGTTTTTGAAGGCTACTTACATAAGTTATAAAAAAGCTTGCCTAAAAGAGATTGGCCTGTGTTGAAGTATAAAGGTGGTCTGACCAAACATCAACTTTCAATAATTAGGTGCACCTAGTTCCATTTTTCTGGTTAAATATAAAGAACTGAGGAGTGACTCAAGACTGCACACTGCATTATAAGATACAGTGGCTTGCAAAAGTATTTGGCCCCCTTGAACTTTCCCACATTTTGTCACATTACAGCCAAAATTATTGCGTAATTATTCAGCCCCCTTTGGTGTGAGTGCAGTCAGTTGCCCATAGACATTGCCTGATGAGTGCTAATGACTAAATAGAGTGCACCTGTGTGTAATCTAATGTCAGTACAAATACAGCTGCTCTGTGACGCCCTCAGAGGTTGTCTAAGAGAATATTGGGAGCAACAACACCATGAAGTCCAAAGAACACACCAGACAGGTCAGGGCAACAGTGGAATGGTTTAAAACAAAACATATCCACGTGTTAGAATGGCCCAGTCAAAGTCCAGATCTAAATCCAATCGAGAATCTGTGGCAAGATCTGAAAACTGCTGTTCACAAACGCTGTCCATCTAATCTGACTGAGCTGGAGCTGTTTTGCAAAGAAGAATGGGCATGGATTTCAGTCTCTAGATGTGCAAAGCTGGTAGAGACAGACCCTAAAAGACTAAAAGGTAAAGCCATACCTCCCGGCTAACATCTTTGAGCGTGTTATTCACCTTTTTCTTACTTGCAGATTAGACTACTGCAATTCATTGTATTATGGTCTAGATCAGGCCACCATCCATCATCTTCAGATGATTCAAAATGCAGCTGCTCGCCTACTAACTGGTACCAAACGGAGAGAGCATATAACCCCAGTTTTAGCTTCTTTACACTGGCTTCCTGTCTCCTACAGGATCCAATTTAAACTTTTACTTTTTGTTTTTAAGTCACTTAATGCCCGAGCCCCTCCTTACCTGTCTGAGCTCCTCTCTGCCTATGCTCCAGGAAAAACCACGAGGTCTAGCTCAGAATTAATGCTGTCCATCCCATGGACTAATTTCAAATCCCGTGGTGATAGATCCTTCTCTGTGGCAGGTCCCAGACTTTGGAATAGTCTCCCCTTAAATATTAGATCTGCACAAACACTTGTGCAATTTAAATCATTACTAAAGACACATTTCTATGCCCTGGTTTTTAACACATTATGACCCAAGCATTTTGGTCTTATTTGAATTAGTTTAGTTATTGTTTTAATTCTTTTATTGTCCTATTATTGTATTACATTGTTGCTTTTAATACCATTTTTATATTGTTAAGCACTTTGTGCAGCATCGGCTGTTTGAAATATGCTATATAAATAAATTTGACCTTGACTGGCAACTGTAATTGCAGCAAGAGGTGGTTCTACAAAGTATTGATTCAGGGGGCTGAGTAATTATGCACACCCCACTTTTCAGTTATTTATTTGTAAAAAATGTTTGGAATCATGTTTGGAATATATGATTTTCGTTCCACTTCTCACGTGTACACCACTTTGGTCTTTCACGTGGAATTCCAATAAAGTTGATTCATGTTTGTGGCAGTAATGTGACAAAATGTGGAAAAGTTCAAGGGGGCCGAATACTTTTGCAAGCCACTGCATTTGTCATAAAATCAAGATACATCTTACTCCATTAAACACTTCAAGCCTGCATACACACCATATTTTGAAGATGTCTAAACTTCTCCAAATCTTCTCTTGGCTACTTTCACTATTTATTTACTTTAAATATTAAAATAGCAAAAGGACAGAAATAACAGAAGTTGGTGGAAAGTGTCAAGTACAACACAAAGATTTCTGGATATTTCCATCCTAATGTGACACAGCACATGTCATAAATTTGGAATATAGAGGTCTTGATGCATTTTTGTATTGGTTGTAAGATGAATAAGATATTTTGGACTCTTTGCAATTTGTTTTCTTGTTGATTCCTTAATTTTCGTTTCTTTATGTTTTTTGTTTTTGGCTTCCCAGGATTGTCTGTGGCAGTTAAATTCAGTGGACTATGGACAGTGGACTATAGTTTATGTTTTCTGGTTGTCTGCGTTGGGCTTTCCTGTTTGTTACAAAGATTAATAATGGATCCTGAATTGGAAGAGGAACAAATCAAATTAGAAAGAGGAACAAAATGTTGCAAATCGCGGATTATTTTTTACATGCTGTGCATCATCAATTTCATTGCACCGGTTGATGGATTTTCCCTGAAGACTTGCAGAATCAGCTACAGTACAGCCATATGTGTCGGAAGTAAACTCAGAGCTGTTCCTGGAGATATTCCCTCAACTGTGACAGGCCTCGATTTAACTTCTAACAGAATTTCAACAATACATGCATCAGACTTCAAAGATCTACTAAATTTGACTAAGTTAGACCTTAATATCAACAACATTTCACAGATAGAAAGCGGTGCGTTTGCCAGTCTAAGTTCTCTTGAGACATTAAATCTAAATAATAACAAACTTGTTACACTGGGAGAAAATGTTTTTGATGGCTTGAGTTGCCTCATTGAGCTAAGAATTAATCAAAATCGCATTAAACAAGTGGCATCCACATCTTTTAAGTCCATGACAAGTTTAAAACTTCTGGACATTTCTCATAACAAACTGCACCACATTACAAAAGTTCAATTGATATTGCAACATCTGCCACATCTACAGGAGCTGGTAATAAGCAACAATGATTTAACCACTTTTCAATCATTTGAATTGACAAACAAATCATTAGAAATTCAGTACCTTGATTTGTCGAAAAATCCCCTCGCAGTCTTCAGGATCACTGCCGATGTTTTTCCAAATCTCACCTGGTTTAAAATTGGGAGCCAAGCCAGAAAGAAACAAATGATATGGGACGTGCAAAACAAGACATTTCTTAGTCGTGTTACTACCCTTGACATTAGTGAGCTTCATTTGGGTCTTGGGGACATGGAAAGGTTGTTAGAGTCAGTGAACTCATCATTAACTATTCTGAAAATGAATGCAATGACACATAACCTGACCACACTGATCAACATTTCCTGCACCATCCCAACAATGAGGACTCTGCAGCTTCGAAGCAATAAGCTCAGCTTTGTTAATGCATACTTGTTTAAGTTGTGTACTAATGTAACTGAGTTAGTTTTGACAGACAACAAAATAAAATACATCCATGATGATGCTTTCAGATCCCTTAAAAACTTAAGGATTTTAACGCTGAGTAAAAACAGGCTTCCACTAGTTCCAGCTGCAACAAGGAATCTACCAACTCTTTCAGAGCTGGATCTCAGCACCAATAACATCAGCACACTGGACTGCCATGATTTCACCAATCAGACAAAGCTCAGAAAGCTTTATCTTTATCAGAATTCAATCACAGCTCTGAAACCATGTCTTTTCAAGGATTTAAAAGGATTACAAACTCTAAAATTACAGACAAACCAAATAACTAAATTGAACGGTGCTTTCAAAGAACATTTG